CATGAGCTAAACAAGATGATTGGGGAGACCAACGCGCTCACTGACGTGAAGACCAGACTGGAGAGAGCCTTGGCGGAGACGGAGGCCCCTCTCCAGGTAATGACCCCATCCAGTGGGCTGCAAGCTGCATTCAAACCGCTGATTAAGTTTCCCTGCAGCTCCGTAGCGTCTAGAAAGTTTTTATTTAGAGCCCATTCGTTAAGTTAGTAATAAACAAACCCCTTGTCATCTGCTGCATCCCCTACCAGCACGTGCTGAGCACATCACAGCATTAACCAACTCTTTTTAGAAGCGCTCCATGCAAAATCCCGCTTTGGGAGACAAAAGCCCCGTGTCTCACTGCGCGGCTCTGGCCAGGTCAGCATCAAGGCGGACACAGGTCCCTGATTTCGGCTGTGGTTGCCCCAGGGACGCGTGTGATCCCCCATGTCGATGCAGTGCTGATGTTGCAGCTCGGCTGCTCCTTCTCAGCTACAGCAGCTGCCCCGGGCAGTTTTTCCCTGCTGTCATCTCTGTGCCCACCCAGAATTTCTGTTCTTCCATTTCTTGTGATGGGGACCGTCCCTGGGGAGAACCCTGCCCCTGCAGCCGGCACTGATGGCATGTCCCCAACAGGTCGCTCAGGAGTGCTTGCGCCACCGGGAGAAGAGGATGGGCATCGACCTGGTCCGTGACGACGTGGAGAAACAGCTCTTCACTGTAAGTTGGGCAACACAGAGCCGGTGTGATTTCATGAGCCGGTCATGAGATTTTAGGAAAACAATCAGAGCTGGTATCTCCACAATGGCATTCTGGATTTTAAGGGTTTGGGACACGTTTAGGCTGTGCTTTTCAGTTGTCTCCTGCAGACAGAGGGCTTAAAAATGACTGGATTTGGAGCATTATCACCTGCCTGCAGTAGCTGGGGCTTCACAGATGCACTGGGTTTGTGCTGAAGTCAAGCGAGTTGAGAGCAGCACACGCCTTCCTCCAGCGGAGCTGAACGTCTCTTAGAAATTCAGACTGGGGATTTGCACCAAAGTCAAGTCCATCTCCTCCTGTCCCGTATGGATGGGACTTCTCCTGGGAAGGAAAACATTTTGGGAGCCAAAAGGGCAGGTGCTGGTTTGGGGATGGAGGTTTGTAGTGCTGCTGGTCCAGGGAACCACTCTACCTGTCCGTACCAGGTCAGGATCTGTCCCTGCCCACACACTGGAACTAAGCAGCACTCGACACTGGTGTCGAGATGAAAAAATACCGATCATCCCATCCTGAAAGTGAATGCAAAGGCCATGGCTGTGGCCGCAGCACCTTTCTGTCCCCTCCTGGGCGCAGGCTCAGGTGCACGAGCGAGTGTGCTGGTGCTGGGGGGCACCTTCTCCACCCTCTGCCTGTATGCTTTGGGCAGCAAGACAAGCAGGAGAGTTCTTGCTGCGTGCAGGGTTGGAGAGGTCTGAGGGGATGAGTGTGAGCAGGACGAGTGAGTCTGGACGCTGACGGGGTCGTGTTTTGCCTTTGCCCAGGAAGTGGATGGCATCAGGTCGTGCCAAGAGAGGATGCAGCAGCACCTGGACAAGGCAAAAGCCCAGCTCGGGTAAGGAGGAGCTCCTTCTCTCACGCCCCAGGGCTGAGGGGCATTTGCAGTTGGGATGGGAACCCCCAGCAGAGCCCGAGCTCTACCCACAGCCCGCAGGTGTAAAGCCCCCGCAGGCTCCATGGGAGGCGGGCAGTGATGCTCGTGGGGGGACAGAGCTGCCCGGGGGGCGAGAGCTGCGGGGACGTGGAACGGGGAGGAAGGCGTTGCGCCCCTCCATCCCCACCCATGGCTCTTGGTTGCATCTGGCAGGTCCAACAGGGCGGCCCAGCACCAGCTGGAGAAGGACCTGGCCAACAAGCAGGTGGCCCACCGCATCGACGACAAGTGCCACCACCTGAGGAACTCCTCCCAGGGCATCCACTACTACCGAGGGGTGGAGCGCGTCGATGCCACGTGAGTGCACGCCGGACGGCACGCCGGCAGCAAACTGTCCCCGGGATGCACGGTGCCTCTGCCTGGCGGGGAGCTGCTTGTCCCCAGCCCACTGTAAAGGCACCTCCATCCCTCCTGGAGACACCCACCTCTCACATTCCTCTCCGCTCGCCAGAAAGGGAGCGCAACCCCCTGCGTTCGGTTGGATGCCAAACATCCAGAGGGTGCAAGCGAGTCCCCACCTCATGAAACATTCTCTCAGGGTTCAGAGATCAGCCCGACAATTAATTCAGTTCGGCACCTCTGCACAGCTCGTTAAGTTTATGCATATTTTCAAAGATGTGTCAGCGCTCGCCTGGGCGCTCTTCATTGACGTAAAGTCTGGGGGGTTCACCCCAGCACGGAGAGGGTCTGGCAGGGAGCCGGGATGACACAGAAGATGAAGAAATAGAGAGCACGGTCCTGGGAGGGAGTTCAGCCGCTTTGGGGTGCCAGGAAATTCCGCTTTGGCTCTGCAGTCAATGAACGGTGACCTAACCCAGCGCTGGCAGAGATGTGCCCTGAGCAGCAAAGGGCTGAGGGAATAAATCTGCCGCTCGCACAGACGCAGGCGGTTTAGGGAGGGGCAGAGATTGATTCAATTTTTCTAATGTTTGAATAATTATTCACAGCGGAGCTCAGACATATTTAGACAGGCAAATGAATTGCAAAGGATTGAGGCTAAAATTCAGAGGGGGTGGGGGGTGGGGGTAAAATGTGCCGAGGATCAGCATGTTTGAAATGGAGCTTATGTGGTATTTAAGTCTTTTGTTGACCTTGTTCTGGACTACTGCACAGGCGTGAGCTTCGTCCTGAATGCACAGGCAGGGAACGGAATATTATCTAATGCTCGTTCAGTTTAGTATGAAACGGAGATAAGTTATGAGCAAAATGATTTGAGGGCAATCTGCGCGTTGTCGTGAAGCTGTGAATCACTTGGCACTTAAATCCCTTGAACGTCTAAATATGAGGTCTGATTAAAATCTCTGTTTTGCTGGGGGAATCTTTTGTTTGTCTGAGCTTTCCTAAGTATCACAGTTGTCTTCAGGAACATGTCATCATTTGATAAGCATTATTGAACAGATGGTGTCCAGATGTTTTGCTTTCATATGGTGTCTTGCTTTCAGAGAGTTAATTTTCTTTCTAGTGATTGCTGTGAAAGGAATGTTAACAATGCATAGTGTTTTAGTTGTTGCTAGGCAATGTTTATACTTTTCAGGGACTCTTTCAGCTTCCCAGAGAAGGGAGAAGGACATAGACATAACAAGGCCAATGGAATATTCCCTACTGTAGACATCATGCTCAGTATATAAATGGGGGTCTGCCAGGGGTGGGAATCTGTGGTCAGGGCTCAGGAAGGTACCAGTTCATGGGGTGGTGAGAATTACTCCTGTCATTTTTATTATTAGTGTTATTTTCCTTTTCTGTTATTGCTCTATTAAACTGTCTTCTCTCCACCCATGAGTTTTTCCCTTTCCCCTCCATTTCTCCCTCTTCTCCCAGCCCTTCCGGGCCAGCGGCTGCGTGGTCCGAGCTGCCGCCTGGCATTAAACCACCACATAGAGTTGATTTAAAAGCATAGATTGAAGCTATATTTAATCCACGCTGCCTCTCCTTACCTCTCCAGCATCTCGGTGCCAGCGTCATGGGCCAAGTTCACCAGTGACAACATCCTCCGCTCCCAGAGCGTGCGGGCCGCCTCCGCCAAGCTGCGCCATGACATCGAGAGCCTGCTGGTGGCGACGGCCAACGAGATGTGGCGGCAATTCAACACCACCAACGTCGCCTTCACCGGCCGCATTGCTGAGACGGCTGAGGCCAAGAGCAGGCTCCAGACCCACCTGGCCAAGGTAGCCGGAACCCCTCCCTTTCGCTGGGTCACTGTCACTTCCCAGTGACACCTCTGAGGCGGGACCCTCCACGCAGACCTGGCCCTAGCAGAGGAACGGGCGCCGCCAGAACCTGCTTATAGTATCGTTTTCTCTTTGAAACTCAGAGTGCTGGGGACTTTCTTCTTGCAGCAGGATGGGTTGGCGCTGTGATTCCATCCCAAGGGACAGCGCCTCCCCGCTGACAGCCTGCAGGTGGATGGGAGAAAAGGGAAATCACATTGTCGCTTGAGAATATAATTTTCATTGATGCACACGTTTCTTTTTTACGCCAGACACTGCGGGAAATATTCAAGCTCGAGACAAACCTAGAAGCCCTCCGAAAGGCCATCCGGGACCAAGGGCCTCCGTTAAAAGTGGCTCAGACGCGGCTGGATGAGCGCACGCGGAGGCCACACGTGGAGCTGTGCCGGGACACTGCCCAGCTGCGGTACGGCGGGAGCGCGGGGCCGGCGGGGTCCTGGAGGAGTCCCGGGTGGTGGCACTCAGGAGCATCCCTGGGTGACAAAATTAATCCGGGGGTGGTTTTTCCTAAATCCTCCTTCCACAAGTGCCCTGATAGAATCCCAACAAGGAGCGGGTATCCCGGCCTTTGGGTGCTGGGAGAGCTCTGCACCCGCGGCCGGGTACAGCCTGATGCCACCCCGGGAGGGGCTGGATTTTTCCCACTTGGGGAAACCTCATCTTCTCTCCTGCCTGCTTCCCGGCGGCTGGGTGTGCTCAGCTCCTGCCAGAAACGGGGGCTCCGCGTGAGTCTGAGCACGCGGGAGGGGGAACCCCTGTGCCCAAGGGGCCCATCTGCAATGCCGGGCTAGAAACCACCCCCGGCACGGGACCCGTAACGAGGGCTTCTTGCTGTTTTCCAGCCTTGTCAACGAGGTCCACAACATCAACGA